TTCATAATTTAACTTAATTACATTAGCTCTCGTAAGCCATATCATCAAATAATCAGCTTTCTAGTGTTGCAATTCCTTGCTACTGCTTAAAATGCATAGAGAAGCTGCGTCTGTATGACCTGAACAGGGATGAGTTTAATTACAACCCAACTAGTAAATTATAGCCAAGCCGTGACGTGAATAAATGACCGAGCAAGCAGGTGGCAAGCCTAGCTTCTTCACAATAATTATCCCTATATCGGCTTCAGTATTAGTGCTGCCGACTTTTACGTCGCATGACGACGAGCAACGGACACGTACGACGGTAGGTATAAAGCACGTCGGAAAGGAAGTCGCTCTCTAGCTGTGACGTCACCGTCGCTAGGGAACCGCCCATGTTTTCGCACTGCAGCTGCGAACTGTGAAACGATGTGCTGTCGGTGTCGATCACGACGTGATAGCACTTCTGGCCTACTCTCACGCCGCCCTCCTCGCAGCCTATCGTAGCGCGAACAGAGAACACGTGATCGCACATCGCTACGCCTGTTCAGGAAGAGGTAGTTAGTTATCTGATTGAGACATTTGATTTAGTATACCAAACAAATTACTGGATATAGTGTGGTGGCGTTTCGTGTACGCCTCTTTAGATCTTTACCATACATAGTGGAATACACAGCTAAATACCCATCTACATTTACATGACGGGATGATAACCTACATACATGTTAACGATATGTAGCATAACGATATATTTTATTGCACAAATATTTATACGGACGGGAACGCAGTGTATAGGTGTATATCATATGCAGCACACACACACACACACATCATGATCAGCGAAGACAAAGATTGCCAGCCTTTGACGGCGCATCGTCAACATTGTCACAAAACATTTTGCAAGCTCCCCAGACTACATATGTGGCGTATTGTGCCTAAAAATATCAACTGCAACTCTGAATGGCATATTTAAAACGTTTCATATAATGGAGTACGGGCCCACATGCCTCTAAAATACTCAAATAACATCCACGGGGAATTTCCGCCCCGTTGGGAGCGCTTGAACTCTAATGGATCATGGCTCTTACGTACCCATGTTCGGGTGGCATTTAACATTGGCTATGTTCTGGATGGAACATGTATAGACCATGTCGTGACGGCAGTCGGCAATTGAGGACTCTCGCCCGCTGCACCGTACGCTCTCCAGAGCAAACTCAAACCCAGAGGAGTTGCCCACCGCCTCACCAGAGCTGCCTTTCCTTATCTCCTGCGCGCCCCTACATATGATGCAAACGCTATATCACGATTGTTGGCAACAAACATGTACGCGAGCACAACACACACACACACACACACACACACAAAAAGAGCCACAACCCAACAAAACACGCCACTCCCAGCCGGCCCGCGCCCAGCACCTGCCCCGAAGCCACCCCCGTACGGCCACGCCACCGGCCACCGCCGTCACGGCACACCACCAACCCAACCACAGCACAGGACACCCAACAACACAAACACGCGCACGGACGCACACGCCACCACGCACGCACACACGTACGCGGCATCTCCTCTCTCACACACCAATTCAGCACCACACAAACGACCCACAGCACACACACACACACAAAGACACGCACACGCACACGCACGACAACAACGAACTACAGGAGCACATCACACTGTCCGGAACCAATCCAAATAACACATAAACGTAAAGTCACTGACATGAAAAATGAGAGGAAGACGACGGGGAGCACGGCTAAATGCAAAAGGAAGGTGAGGCAAATGAGAGAGGGAAAAAGACAGTAACCAAGTAAGGAAAAGGGCGATAAAGCACAGAAAGGGGAAAAACGAGAGCCGAAAGAGACAATAAAGAAAAGCACCCAGACAGAACCGGAAGCTTGAATGAGAATCAACACATAGGAAAGCAATCATACGGGTACGAAACAGAAAAGCAATGAAATGAAGCCCCACTAAAGACCGAGAATATCGATATATAATCATTACATCTAAACTTAGACGAATCCTAGTGCATACACGCCTACATCAGCACTGAGCTTTGTCCCAAGTGCTTATCAACATATGGAGAGCGCCCATCCACCATATATATCCACGGACAGGCCGAGCCGCACTTCCACCGGCATCGCCGGCCGGGCCGATCCGGCCTCCGCCCTTACGCGCCTGCCGTGAAGGAATTATGGAGCCAACAGGCAGGAAAAAGCAGACATGTAATAGCTACTGTTCGATGTGAATAATGATACTCCTACAGTCTGCTTGTGTGTAACTTCTGGTAAGACTACTATGGTAAACTAAGGTAGCTTGTGTGTAACTATCATATATAACATCAATACTATCCACACCGTGTTATTATTGTTAGAGGTAGAGAAAAATAGTAACCGTAGACTTGCGTGGTGTTTTTCCGAGTGCTGGGTGCGGCGTGGCCAATCATACGCCCGCTCCGTGCGCTGCGTTAGTGTGTGCTGTGGGCTCCGTGTGTGGTGCCAGTGCTGCGCCGCTGCGCCCCGTATTTACCACGCTAACCCAAGTGCACACTACTTGTCCTGTCAAATTCAAAATTCAAATCAACAACGCTAGTCCATTATTAATACGGTATGGCAATCATTATGCTTATAGACCTCACACACCATAAAGAGGCTTATAACTACGAGAACATACCACCCGGGATTCTCACGCCGAACATCATAAATCACCACTCTCTAGCCACACTCACACTTCCTGAATCCGCCTCTCGCTAAACCGCGCACTTCCACTCATTTCGTTGCTTTACCTGCCCTCTCTTCACCTAACCCTAAAACCCTAACACTAAACGACCTAAACTCTATTCTCTTCTCGTCTATAAAATCACATCTCGTCATCTCTCTCTCTCATTCTCTCGTCTCTCTCTGTTATTTCTCTCTCTCTCTCTCTCTCTTATCTCTCTCCCTCTCCTTCTCTCTGTCTCTCAAACCACGCAATTCTTTCCTCGAGCCCCCCACTCTCTACTCCTAACCCTAGCCCTAACTCTAGCCCCTTTCTCTAGTCCTAAACGTCATATCATAACCACACTGACTCACCTGTCATAATTTCTTTACTGGATTTATTCAATTTGCATAAATTCAGGTCAATAATTTTCGAGAAACAGCATGTGCCAAAAACTTTGAACTATTATGCATACGGTACATGGGTCGTATCTGGTAGCTGAGAAATTTCGCGTTCGCGCGAGTGTGATTACGTGCGTATACGTGTGCCTGTGTGTGCGCTCGCGTGCCTGCATGTTTGCGTTTGTACGCGTGTGTGGCTGTATCGTTGTACAGATCAAGAGCCGTATGTACCTAATAGATTGACCGCTGGCTGAGTGAGCATTCGCAGATCGAACTAGTTCACTGCTCACCACGGATTCATCATCGTTACCTGTTGAATGCAAATCAGCGAACCTTTTTCAGCGACACACACTTACATGAATGACAGAACATATGTGATTAGCTCAGCGCATTATAATAGTGTGATCTTCAGAATAGACTCTGTACTTTAACGTATACATCAGTGTGATAAGGATATATCAATACCTATACTTATCATTCACTGATCATCGTGATTCACTTCCACTACGGTAAGCTTGTTTACTCATTAATCATGCATGTTGTAATGTGAGACATAATACAGATGGTATTGTAATGCAACAATAATTCCGCTGTCCACGGCGCGCATGCGCAGTACCTCGGGCTCTGCCATGCCCTACGTTGTCAGTGTGGTAATGATCGCGATGGCTTCGGATGTAACCCTGTACAATGTAAGACGCCTACATTTAGTATCTTTAGCGGATAGTATGACACATATGAATAAGCATGCATGTATGCATGCATGCATTCAACTGTGTTGACTCCTTATATTATATGCTACGCCTGGACTAATGGTCCGAAACTATAATATAGCGTCTAATTATGCGACCCATTCTCACTTACATTTAAAGCCATTACTTTGCTTCTATGACAGCTTGTTACCACAATAGCTAACGAAATTCTACCGACAACTTAATTATTAAAGCACTTTTCAGAGAGATCATGCACGAAGAAAGCATACTCCATAAGCGATAACTCCCAAGTTTCGCGGTCCCTTAAAACCTTCGCAAGCCTTAGTCAGTGTCCTTCACTAATGGAATCTGGCGTTTCATAATTCGACTATATATATATATATATATATATATTTATTTATTTATTTATAACCTTTTATAGCCTGATGAAGAGAGATAATTATCGAAAACTTGCTGATTAAAATTTAATACCTTAATATGTTTTTCTACATTTATTTATGTATATAGTAGTATTTATGTATAGAATAGTGGAACGTACTGTTCTGGGTGAGCGGATCTCTCGCCTGCGTTCTTGATTTCTCGGTACGAAATCCAGACGGGTTACCGTCTCGCTTCTCGTCAAGCCATGATGACATACGATCACCGCCATAACCACAACCATAGCAACCGCAGCGTGACACCTAGTCATCGTCATCGTCACCGTCGCGATCACCGTCAAAGATTTCTTAGTAACACGTGCTGCGCTGGTCACTTAATATTTATTCACCCGCATCAACGTCTACTGTGTTGCATCGGAGGAGACGGTGTTGGCTGCGGGTTTAGCGTTATCCGTGAGAGAAAATCGCTGTAGAAAGTCGAAATCGCTGTTAAATCGCTGTAAATTCATGTATTTGCGGATACGCGACCGTTCCTGCGCTAGCTACTGAAGGATCGACTGTCAAACGACAGCTTTTATCTGACGACTCTGTCACGTTCACCTCTCTGGCCAGCGAGTCGCGGGCTAGGTCAGAGATCAACCCACGCAGACGTGATAAGCTTATCGTAGTTTGGAGTACCGGGTCAGGAGACGGAAGCAGGAGAAGAAGTTGTAAACACTCGTCCCGCCCACACCTCAGTAGATCTCTTAGATCTACCTAGATCTCGCCCGCACCTCATAGACTCTCTTACATGTGGTCACACTATATGCCACGACGGAGGAAGGTTCTATTGACGACGTACTTTTTACGTGTGATATGCATTCTCTCCCTCCTCTCCTGCTCTCTCCTCGTGTCTCCCATTTCCTCGAACTCTCCGTCTCGATCAATCCTTCCTTTCTCTCTCTCTCCTCATCCCTCCATCTCCGTCCCCACATTTCTCTCCTCTCTCTTTTCACTCTCGCCTCCCCCCTCTGCCTTTTCCTCTGTGCTCGGATCTCGTTGTTTTCTCTCCTTCGTCTCCTTTCTCTCTCTCTCTCTCTCTCTCTCCGTTTGAGTCTCTCTCCCCCACTCTTCCATAATTTCCCGTTCTTTCTCTCTCCGTCCCTCAATCTTTCTCTGAACATGTCTCCCATCTATTTTCACGAGTGTCCTTTGGTTTCTCCCCCACTCCTATTCTCTCTCCGTCCTTTTGTCTCACACGCTCAAAGACATTTTCTTATTACAAACATTTGAGCCGCGGCAAACTTGAGCAGACCACGTACAGGATGTTTCCGCTGAGATTATCATGCTGAGCTCGGTTTGCAATGTCACGTACGTGGAAAACATTCTCTCGTGGATATGCGGACGTATACCGGAAGCGCATAATCACGTGCTGAAAAAATGCGCATGCGCAGGATGCCGTTCGATGTAGCCGATGTGTAAAATACTAACAGTGCATTTCTTACTGCAATATATAAAATAAAGCACATGCGCTTAAATTCAATGCCTAGGTCATTGCTCCGCGTATGTGTGGGCCGTGGGGTGCTACAAAATCGATACCTAAGCACATTTCATTAGTGCAAAACAGCAGCAGTGATATGCTTACTGTCACATATATATGACAACATGACGGGCGGGGCACACACTTGCACTAACACACATACAACAAGGACACTAGTCCATGTCGTGGAGGAAAGATAAGGGCACGAGCATGAACGCTGACGCGCGGGGAACTGTATTTATATCAGGAATACGTGAATAGCTGAGAATCCATCCTCTATGCGTGCACTCCAGTTTACATTATATCGTATGTGTGTATAGCTTCAACTTGAATGAATGAAACAAATTGGCGCAAAAACAGAAAAACCTTATAAACTTATTCAAGCTTTTCTGGCTGAATACTAGGGCGAATTGTTCAGCTGAATGTGCCAAGAAGTGTGAATTCAAATGCTCGGTCCGTTATATTTATTTTGGGTTTACATCTGCACAATGGCGTCATGCACATGGACAATGCAGTTGGCTACGAAAATGTGAATTACAAATTACAGTTCATCAAGCTTAAGCAACCACCGATCAGTTATTAAATGATTCAGTCATCAGTTATTCGAATATAGCTCTTTACTTTAACGCCAAATCCAAAAGCGAGTCACATCTCCTTCTAAGAATATCCTAATGACAAAGTTTACAAATATTAAGTCAAATGTTACTGGTCCCAGCAAGACACAAACCACTAAGTAGTCTGTGTCTATTATAATAATACACACCGATACATGTTACCACCGTATATTCCCCCACACAAAGTCAAAAGACGAACTAACGCTGACGAGACTCCGTGATCCAGGAGATCGCATGCACGCACCCAGGACGCACGCACGCACGTACGCACACACGAACGCACACACACGCACACACACACACACACACACACACACACAAAGACACGCACACGCACACGCACGCACACACACATGCACACAAACACAATCAAATAAACACATAAACGTAAGGTCAACTGACTGAAAAATGGAGAGGAAGACGACGGGGGCACGGCTAAATGCAAAGGAGGTGAGCAATGAGAGTAGGGAAGACAGTAACGAGTAAGAAAAGTGGCGATAAAGACACAGAAAGGGGAAAAGAGAGGCCGAAAGAGACAATAAAAAAGCACAGACAGACGCGGAGTTGAATGAGATAAACAATAGGAACAATCATGCGGGTACGAAACAAAAAAAGCAATGAATGAAGCCCACTAGACGAATACATATATAATAATTACATTACCTAACGAATCCTAGTTGCATACACGCTACATCAGCACTGGCTTTGTCCCAAGTGCTATCACATATGAGACCCCATCCACCATCAATGTACACCTCCACGCGACCTTCACCGATCGAGCGCCCGCTCGCTCCCCTTAGCCTGCGTGAAGGATTATGGAGCAAAGCAGGAAAAAGCAAAAACAAATGTATGAGGCTACTGTTATGTGAATAATGATATTACATCTGCTGTGTGTAACTATGGTAGACTATGGTAAACTAAGGTAGCTGTGTGTAACTATGCATATATAACATCACATATATCACACGTGTTATTATTGTTAGAGTAGAGAAAATAGTAACGTAGACTTGCGTGTGTTTTTCGAGTGTGGGTGCGCGTGCATATACGCGTGTGCGTGCGTTAGTGTGTGCGTGTGCTCGTGGTGTGTGCGTGTGCGCGTGCGTGTATTTGCTAGTATTTATGTAATACCTATGGCAATCATATGCTTATAGACCCTCAAGATAAAGAGCTTATACTACCGAGAATCCTCGCCATTAAATAATCACTTTGCACTCAGCACTTCCTGAATCCCCTCTCCTAAACCACTCCACTCATTTCGTGCTTTACTCCTCTCTTCACCTAACCCTAACCCTAACACTAACCCTAACTCTATCTCTCTCTCTCTCTCTCTCTCTCTCTCTCTCTCTCTCTCTCTCTGTTATCTCTCTCTCTCTCTCTCTCTTATCTCTCTCCCTCTCCTTCTCTCTGTCTC